AGCTGGGAAGGGGCCTCCGAACAGGGGATGTCAGGGATGGGAGGGGGTTTAGATCGTCTTTTCCAACCACATTTTACAGCTAAAGACACTGAGGCCCAAAGAGGGCTTCCTGGACCTCACCTACCAATGAATCGGCAGCATTTCTAAAGTGCCGCCCACGCAGCAGCCACTCCTGCACCCCAAGGAGACAGCTGCAGAGCCTGTCCATCCTCCTCCCGCCACATGCCCAGCCTCGGGGCCTCTCAGTTCGGTTCGGTGAGTCTTGGTTTCCCTACGTGCCCAGGGAGCGTCTGGCACCAAAAGGCCCCTCAGGTCCCTCCCTGTGAAAAGATCTAGAGTTCTGAGGAGGCTTTCGTCAGCCTCGGGAGGGGCCACACACACCGCCTCTTCAAGCCTGTTTTTCCAGCTGAGACCCGGAGCCTTACTCACCTAGAATCCCTCTCCCTCCCCCCCAGCCAGAGGATCCTCTCCCCCCATTCTCTCCATCCTGGGCGGCTGAAACCAGCCGGGGCTGCCCTGCCTCTGCACAGCAGGCAATGCCCTTGTAAGGGCCTGGTGTGGAGGGCCCGGGAGCCTGACCAAGCTGCACAGATGGGCGCCCAGCCAAGCCCCAGGGCAGCTCCGTCCATCGCCAGGGAGCTGGCTTCCTTTCCTCAACTCCGAGATTCGGGCTTGTTTGCTTTTTGTTTGTTTTCAGGGTGTCCTGTCATTTCATCAATACGGGGAACTCACCCCATTACGGAACCTCCCTCCACTGACACAGACTGGCACCACAGAGAGAGTACAGGGGCCTGGAGTCAGGAAGACTCATGGTTGTGAGTTCAAATCCAGCCTCAGACACTTCCTAGCTGTGTGACCCTGAGCAAGTCACTTCACCCCGTTTGCCTCAGAAGGAAATGGCAAACCCCTCCAGTATCTCTGCCAAGAAAACCCCCAATGGGGTCACAGAGTCAGACATGACTGAACAGCCACAGCTGCAAATATTGTCTAAGACTATAAATTCCTGGGAGCGGTGAGACATTAACTCATCCACCCAGGGTCCCACAGCCAATGCGGATCGGGGTGGGACTGGAACCCAGCCCCTTCTGATGCCCAAACTGCATACCTGAACCTTAAAAGCCAGCACGGGATAGGGGAACTCGGATGCAGGAGGTCCTAGCTCTCCTCCCTGCTCTGAAATTGAGCCAGTCCACAAACACGTAGGTGCCTACTCCCCATCAGCTACCCGCTCCAGGCGCTGTCCAGCAATGACCCGCACACCCAGAGGCCGTGACCCAGAGCAAGCTCCCCGTGCTGGAGTGCCTGGGTCTCCCCGTCCACTCTCATCCGCCCCCTCTCCAGACCTCTAGAGCATCTCTCCCCAAAAAGCGCACCCTACCATTTCTCCAAGACAACATTGGCCTCACAGCTTTCTCCTCACCCACAGGGACAGGACGGAGCCTTCAATGCCCTCCCAAGCCTCACTCAACCAACGTTCTCCCAAAGCCAGCCCTCCAGAACAGTCCCTTTGTGCAGGGGTGAGGATGCCAGGGCTGGGCAGGAAGGGAGGAGAGGTCCAAACACCTGGGTTCCGTGCCCTCTGAGCTCACAGACTGTGGCTGAGCACCTTTAACCAGATGCTGTGAAACCAGCTGATTTCTTCACACACACACACACACACACACACACACACACACACACACACACACGGAAGGAAGGCAAGACAGAATCACAGAATCCTACAGCTACCATCAATATGGGCACATCTGACCACAACCTGGCCTAGATCCCCAGGGATCTCCCAGCTCAGATGCTTCCTGGGATGTCAACAAGAGGAGGCCAGAGGGGAGAAAACCCTGGGTTTGAATCCTAACACCATTGGTGTCCAGGTCAGGAGCTCAGTGCATACAAGCAGCAGTCTGCGCTTTGCAACGTCCATTCCAGGATATAGACAGCGAGCTGGAAAGGACCTCAGAGGCCAACCCTCTCATTTTACAGATGGAGAAACCGAGGCCCAGATAAAATGATGCACCTCCCCTCACGGAATTCTGGGTTTTTATCCTCATTCACAGATCCTTGAACTTGCCCAAAAGAACAAGGCCGGCCGGTCCAACTCTGCCACCGAATCTCAGAGACAATCCAGGCCATAGAGACAGAACAAGAAGCCCAGGAAGGGAAGTGACTTGCCCAAGGTCACCCAGTAAGCTAACAGCAGCGCCCTGGGTTCCTGAGCCCCACATCAGAGCTCTTTACGCCAGACTGACTGGCTCTGAGAGCCTGGTCCCTCAGTACTTGGTGGAAAGAACCAAGGTCTGGTTCTGGGCACCGGGGTTCTGGTCTCAGCTTGCCCCCTAACTGGCTGTGTGACTGGACTCAGGGGCCCCCCCAGGCCATCTAACCCAACCCCTGAACTCATACAGGTAAGGAAACAGAAAATCACACTGACCCAGGCAACAGAGCTGACAAGGCCTTCCGGGACCATGGAGCCCAACTCCCTCAGAGAGCTCCTGGGTTCAAAGCCACCTCTGACACTCAGGGGACCCTGGCAACCCATTCAGGCTCATCAGACCTCAGTGTCCTCCCCTGTAAAACCCTGGGATTGGGCCGGTGGCCTCTGAGCACCCTCCAGCCAATGAATCCAAATCCTAAAACTCTCTTCTTACATCAGAGGGGCCAAACACACTGCCCAACACTCCAGAGTGCAGCCAGGCCAGATTAAAATCTAACTGGGAAATATTTAACAAAATAAAAATGCAATGAAACAGATAGCACTAGATTTAAAAGCTAAGTCAACCTGCGGCCCTCAGGGATTCTCACAGAGTTGGACCCCAGCAGCCCACGCCGCCAGCCCCAGGTTTCCCAACTGTAAATACAGGCTTTGGACCAGCTCTCCGAAGCCCCCTTCGAGCTCGGACTGTTTGTGCATCTGGGAGCGTATCCCATCTGGTGACCTACCTAGGCAGAGTGAGCACGGGCCTGGCATGGTGACCTCCGGAACCAGCCTGGAGGTGACGGCCAGGAGAATTGTGAGCAACCCGTACTGGGAATCAGCATGTGTGCTCAGGTATCTCTCACACACACACACACACACACACACACACACTCATACACAAACTCACAAACTCATACTTGCACACACACATACTACACACGCTACACTCACACTATACACTCACACTATACACTCACACAGACCCACTCACACACTACACTCAAACCATACGCACACACTCACACAAACTCAAACACATACTACACACACACTCTCACACACTACACACACTCACAGTACACACATTCTCACACACTACACTCACACACATTACACACTATCACTACACACACATGCACACTCATACACTTCACTCACACTCATAAACTCATACTCATTCACTACTCACTCATACACTACACACATCCTCACACATTACACACACTCACTCACATACACATTAAACTCATACAAACACACTCACTCCACACTCAAACTCACACACACACACATTCTCACAAACCACACACTCATTCCACTCACACACTTTACATATTCTCACAATCACACACACTCATACACACCCCACACTCACATTCTCACACACTACACACACTCACACATGCACACTCATATACACTACTCACACTCGTACTCATTCACTACACTCATACACACCCCACACTCACATTCTCACACCCTACACACACTCCACTCACTCACACACACTACCCACTCATTCACATACACATCACACTCATACACTCACACACTCCACACTCACTTATACACACAGTCTCACACACCATACACACTCATTCCACTCACACATTACACATTCTCACAATCACACACACACTCATACACACCCCACACTCACATTCTCACACCCTACACACACTCTACTCACACACTACCCACTCACTCACATACACATCACACTCATACACTCACACACTCCACACTCACTCACTTATACAGTCTCACACACCATACACACTCATTCCACTCACACATATTACACATTCTCACAATCACACACACTCATACACACCCCACACTCACATTCTCACACCCTACACACACTCTACTCACTCACACACACTACCCACTCACTCACATACACATTACACTCATACACTCCACACTCACTCACTTATACAGTCTCACACACCATGCACACTCATTCTACTCACACATATTACACATTTTCACAATCACACACACTCACACACTACACTCTCACACACCCCACGCTCACATTCTCACACACTACGCTCATGTACTATACACACACATGCACACTCACACACACACTCTACTCACACTCGTACTCATTCACTACACTCACTCATACACACTCACACACTCACTACAGTCACATACACACACTGCTCATTCTCACACTCATACACATACTACACACACAAGCCTCCCACCGCACACACTCCCCACACTCCCAGGGGCAGGAGGAGGGGTCCCATTTCCCAGACGGGACATCTGGGAGCGCCGCCCACTGCCCAGTCCCCCCCCCCCCCCGCCCCGCCCCCCCCCCGCTCACAGCAGCTCCGGCCGGTGCCGGTGCAGCAGCGCGCAGAAGGCCAGGCCGTCCCGGAAGGAGCCGCTCAGGTCCCGGATCTCCACGCCGGGGTAGCCGCGGCACTGGCGGCGGCACCAGGCCAGCAGCGCGGCCCGGGGCCCGGCCATGGCGCGCCGCCTCGTCCGCCGCCCGCTGCCCTGCCCGGGCTGCACCCGCCGGAGCCCGGCTCCGGCCGCTCGGGGCTGCGCCGCTGGGCTCCCGCTCCGGCTCCTCCTCCTCCTCCTCCTCCTCCTCCCCTTCCTCCTGCCCCTCCCCCCGGCCCTGCTCAGACCTGTCCGGTCCGCCCCGCCCCGCCCCGCCCCGCCCCGCCCGGCCCGGCCCACCCGGCGCTTACTCACGCCCAGCCCGGCTCTGCTCCCCAGGCGGGGCGGGGCCGGGACCCCCACCCCGAGCCCTCCCCCACCCTCCACTCCCTCCTTGCAGCCCCGTGGACGCCCGAGGGATTCCCCCCGAAACCCCCGACGCTCACGTGCCCAAGGGACTCCCCCGGGACCACAGAGATGGACGTCTAGGGGCTCCCCCCCGCAGAGAGACGCCCCGGCCCCGGCCCTTCCCCCACCCGTGGCGCCCCCCTCCCCGCCCTATGACCTGATAAACCAGAAGGACCACCTTCCCCGTAGAGGCAGCAGGAGCTCCCCCCCCCAGTACCTTTAGACCCTACTAGGTATTCCCCCACCCAAAACCAGCACAGAACTCCGCCCCCACCCTATGCATTAGTGTTATGTCCAGCCCTCCTCTCCTCCCCCACCGCGATCGATGCCTAGACCAGGAGCCGGGGTCAGCTCCTGGAGCTATTCCCTGGCTTCATGAACATCCCCCTCCCAGACCCCCGCCCAGCCCCGTCACATACCTGACCCTAGAGAATGACCCCCTAGGAGCCAGACTTAGGGCGCACCCAAAACTAGGGGATTCCGTAACAAGGAGATCGGTCGGTAAATCCGGAGTTCAAAGACCAGCTCCACTGTTGATAACTTGTGCAGCCTCTCCAGGCCTCAGTTTCCTTATCTGCAAAATAAAAGGGTTGGCCTCTGAGATCTCCTCCAGCTCTAGTTGTGTGGGCCTATGACCCTTACCTGTGTGACCTTGAGCAAGTCTCTTTCTGTCTTTGAGCCTCACAGTTCCCCCACCTGTAAAATAAGGAGATTGGACTAGATTCCTCCCAGCTGTAAAAACTATGATCCTCTAGTAACTGCTCAATACTATTCCACTTACCATTTACCAAGTGCGTACTATGTGCAAAGCCTTGGACCTGCCAGAGTGAAAACCAGGGACAGTCTTTGCCCTGAGGGAGCTCACAGCCTAATTGTGGGAAGCAATAACATACACTTGAATTAGTATAAATACAGAATGGCCTAAAAGTCTTAGTGTGGTTTAAACTCATTTTAAAAAAAAGCACTAAATCTGCACTCAAACTTTTGGGACACCCTAGATAAGACCTGGTGTGTTGGAGACAGCGGGATAGAGACAAAATGCTTTTTTGGTTGGGCAGCCCTCAAACTTTCAGCTGGATTAAGGCTTTCTAGAGAAGATGACCTCTGAGCTGGACCTTTTGGGAAGAAGTCACCAGGCCAAGCTGCGGAAGGAGTGCTTCTGAGGCTGGAGAGGGATAAACTGTGCATGCATGCAAGGGATAGGATGAGAGCTGTGGTAATGCTCCTGGAGTGGGCAGAGGGAATATTGTGGAATAAAGCTGGAAAGCTGGAAAAGTGGATCTGCAGCCAGGCTAAGGTTTTTGTGTTTTGTAATACACTAACCCATCTCTGTAACTTTCTGAACCAAAGTTCCCCTCCTTGACCACCACCCTGATTGGTGGATTGCCTCCCTCTATTAGAATGTAAACTCATGAGGGCCCAGACTGTCTTTGCTTCTATATTTATACCCCCAGGCCTTAGCACAGTGCTTGGCTCACAGTTAGAACTTAACAAATGCTTTTTCTTTCCTTCCTTCTTTATCCTGGAGGCAAAAGCGAACCAATAACATTTCAGGAGCTGGAGAGTGACCTGGTCAGATTCGTCTGGGGCCGAGCGCACCTCCTTTATGACTAGTACATGGTTCTTGAGAATCCCTGAGATTAAAAACTCTATCCCCTTGCAGCTAGCCCAGCACTCACCTCTGCACAATTAGCAAGGCTGGGCATTGGACCGCAGTCATACACGGCGTCATCAGGGCCCTTGGAAAAGTCTTCCCACCTAATCATTCTTGTTTTAGCTATCTCCCAGGTCCATGATAAGCCTCAGACAAGATAATGGACCAAACTCAGTTTTTGGAAACTGTAAAGCACCGAACCTCTGCTGATAACAATGGCGCAGCCATGAGAAATTGTAAAGTGCAGTACCACCACTAACAACAACCGCCATTTATAGCGAGTCCATGGTGCTTGAGTGAGGGAAGAGAGTTACCCATTGTGATGAGATCAGAAATCTAAAACTGAAGGAACCAGTGTCCATCTGGTCCCGTGCAGACCTTTGACTGAATCCAGACTTCACTGAACAAATCCCCTTCGTAAAAGGGGACTCAGACTTGAACTCAGTCAAAAGGCCACGCCCAAGGACCGCCTGGAGGCCACAGGTTCCCCACCCCTGATTCTAGTCCTAGGTCACTCAGGTAATGTCAGGAATGGGGTTAGCAGAGATGGAGCAGCTTGGTGACTCAGTGGATACAGTACCAGGCCTGGAGTCAGGGAGACCCATCTTTGTGAGTTCAAATCTGGCCTCAGACATTAGCTGTGTGACCCTGGGCAAGTCACTTAACCCTGTTTGCCTCTGTTTCCTCATCTATAAAAAGAGGCAGGGGAAAGAAATGTCAAACCACTCGAGTGGCTTTGCCAAGAAAACCCCAAATGGGGTCATGAAGAGTCAGACACGACTGAAAACAACTGAACAACAACATGGGATTAGCACTCAGACCTTCTGATTCCTAAATGAGGTGTTCTTTCCACTCCACTAACCTCACCTATTATATTATCACTCCAGTGATGTGATTCAGATGTGTCTGCACAGCTGTGCTCCCAGCCCCTGGGTAGGCTGCCCTTTTAAGCAGGTAGCTGAGTCAGGCAGAAGCTGACAAAGTGAGCTCTGCGCATGGATTTGCTGGAGATGTTCCCCTAGTAATTATCCCATTTACGAGGTCTTTAAACCCAACATGATGTCACTACCCAAAGGGCAATAGACTCCTTGAATCCATTCAGCCAACATTCATTAAGCATCTGCTCTGGGCCCAGTGCTTTGCCAGATACCGAAGATACAGAGGAGAAATGACCCGGTCCCCAATGTCCAGGACTTTACAGCCAAGCAGAGAGGCCCCCCTCAAACCAGGGAGAGGGCCAAGACAGGCTACAGTCGTTGCCACGTTACCCACAAATGAACTGAAGAGAACACAGATTCAGAGATGGATGGCAGTGCCAGAGATCTTTCCACTGTACCACAGATAATGCCTGTGGAGTTTACAAAGTGCTTTACATATGCGGTACAGTAGAAATAGTGCGTCTTTGGAGTCAGAGGACTTAGGCCACTCTCTACTTTTGTGACCTTTAGCACTTCACATCTCTGGGTCTCAGTATCCTCACCTATAAGATAAGGGTGTTGTACTGGATGACCTCTGAGTCCCTTCCAGCTCCAGGAGCTTCTCTGGGCCTCAGTTTCCCCATCTAGAAGGTTTCTGAGGTCCAGTTCTGTTCTCTCTCCTTAGGATGCCTGTGAGATTGCAGGCTCATACTCACACGCCCCTCCAAAGGTCCGGGAACCATCGACCTCCTTCAGGTCTGGATCTGGCATTGCCTGAGTGGCAAATCTTAATATCCCTTGTGACCTAGCTGTGTGGCCTTGGGCAAGCTTCTTGTTTCTCTGGCCTTCAATTTCTTTACCTGTAAAAGAACAGGAGAAGTTTGGACAAGGTGACACAGCTCAACTTTCATTTTACAGACAAGGAAACTGAGTCCCAGGGAGGCTCATAGGATCATAATTCAGAGCCAGAAGGTCCAACTTTCTCATGTGTCAGAAGCAGAATTGGAATCCAGGTCTCCCGACCTGGGAGGCAGGGTTCTTTCCATGGCACAATTGAACTGAACTAAATTGGAGAAGGGAGTAGTTACTTGGAGCTGCTGTTGATGGGACAGTACCGGGCCTTTGACCTGCCCATTTATCCTGACTGGGTGCTCATAGCACCACTCGATCTCTCTCAGGAGGAGGCACACAGACAGACAGACAGACACACCCACACACCCACACACACACACACACACACACCAGGCGGTAGGTTCCAGGCCACTGAAGAAAACAAGCCTCCTTACCTATTTGGTTAGCAATTCATTAACAACCCTCTGGTACTTTGCCCTGTCCTGGCCCTAAGGGCAAAGCAGATACTTATCGGGGAAATCGCTTTGCCAAAGTCACACCAGAAAATGGAGTGCAACATGACCTGAGCGCTCAGTGTCCCATGGAGCACTTGAGGTTCCCAGAGGCAATTCCGTTTTCTCCTCGGGATACCTGTGAGATACAGAATTCTTCTCCTTCCCACAGCTCTCCAGAGCAGGGAGTCATTGACCTCCCAGATGATGCCAAGTAACAGCTCTGAGCAGGAGCGGCAAGAATAAATGATGTAGGGGCAGCCGGGTGGTGCAGTGGGTAGAGCTCTCGCCTTGAAGTCGGGAGGACCTGAGTTCAAATCCAGCCTCAGATACTTGACACTTCCTAGCTGTGTGACCCTGGGCAAGTCACTTAACCCCGATTGCCTCACCAAAAAGCAAAAAAAAAAAAAAAAATTATGTATTCACATTTATGGATGACTTTCTACATTCAGCATCCAATCTGAGCCTGACAATAACCACCTTTCCCGGCTAGTTCTTCTGCGACGCCAGAGATTCTCCAGCACCCATGACCATCGTCATCGTCACCATCAATATTAACAAACATTTAGTGAGCACTCTCTCTATGCCAGCCACTGCTCTAAGGGATGGATCAGGGTTTTGCTCTAAATTCTGCACCACAAAGCACCGATCCCCGAAAGGGAGGATGGGGCAGTGGATAGAAAGCTGATTTCCAAGTCAGGAAGATGCTAGGTTCAAGTCCTGACATCCTGGCTGTGGAGCTCTGGGTACCTGAGTGCGCTCAGGAACCTCTCTGAGATTATAAATAGCAGAGCAAATTCCTCCCTGGGAGTTCCCTACCCCAGTGCAATCATAGGTCCAATTCATGAGAATTATGCCCAAATGAGGAAACTGAGGCATCGAACTGTCCAAAGGGATATGCCCTCCTTGGAGTACTGAATTCTGAATGGGTCAATACCTAATGGGAGAGTAAAGCCCTCTGGAGCCCAGGGCACAAAGACTATTAAAACTATCTGTATGGGGTCATACCCCAAGCCTCTTTTGTTTAAAAACAAAATGCCATTTTAATGGAACACAGGCTTGTCATTGAATTATGGTTTTTCATTTTAATTAATATTGCAGGGTTGGCACGTAAAAATAAGACGTTACTCCTTTCTTTTTAGGATATGGTAAGGATTTGTAAAACTAGAAAAGAAAAACTAAATCCAGAAAATACAAACATCACATCCTCTGTGGATGTGATTCTACAAAATGAATGGTTAAAGAAAAATAATTTGAGAGAAGAAAAGTGATTCATGTAAGCTATTTCATTACGGGTAGAGCCGGGATTAGAAGCCAGAACCTGGTCCAGGTCTCTCTCTGCCCTTGCCTCTCATTCACTATTCCACCTTCCACACTGACAGTTGTGATGGAGCATCTGGCTTAGGCTCCGGAAGATCTCGGTTTGATGGGCAGAACCCGTTTAGTACCCTGGACCTCAATCTCCTCATCTGGAAAATGGAGAAGTAAGACACTTGTACTATCTGCTTCAGAGGGTTATGGGGAATAAAGTTCATAGGATCCTTGATCTGGGGCTGGAGGGGACCTCAGACCTTGCCCACCTCCTTCATTTTAGAGATGAGGAAACTGAGGCTCAGAGATTAAGTGTGATGGAGTGATAGAGGCAGCATTTGAAAAACCGGGTCCTCGGACTCCCAATCCGTCCACATTCCACTGTACCATGTCACCTCGCTCATTGAATTTCTCAGGTGTTTTTAAGAAGGCAGCCTGGCTTAGTAGCTATGTTGGCCATGTAGCCTGGAAAACCTGGGTTTGAATCTAACCCTTGACACAAACTGTGTGACCTTGGGCAGGCTCGGGCCTCGCTTCTTCACCTACAGTAGGACCTCTCTCATTGTGTTGTCATAAGGCTTCAGAAGAGATCACGTAAGAAATGTCCCTTAGGGGCAGCTGGGTGGCACAGTGGATAGAGCACCAGCCCTGGAGTCTGGAGGACCTGAGTTCAAATCCAGTCTCAGACACATAATGCTTACTAACTGTGTGACCCTAGGCGAGTCACTTAACCCCATTGCCTAGTCGAAATAAAGAGAAAGGAAGAAAGAAAGAAAGAAAGAAAGAAAGAAAGAAAGAAAGAAAGAGAGAGAGAAAGGAAGAAAGAAAGAAAGAAAGAAAGAAAGAAAGAAAGAAAGAAAAAGAAAGAAAGAAAAAGAAAGAAAGAAAGAAAGAAAGAAAGAAAGAAAGAAAGAAAGAAATGGCCTTTAAAAATGCCCTTCTGTGGACACACACACACCTTTCTCCCTTCTACTAAAGTAAAACTCTATCCCCTCCACTCCAGTCTCCTCTCTGACCTTGTCCCATCAGTCATCACCTTTGGGCTGGAAGGAAGTGAGTCATGGCAGACTCATCGCTCTTCTTTTTCTGGCTTGATGAGTAGACCAGCGGATCAGTGCATGCTGTCATTGTAATTTAGCCAGATTTCAGCAGAGCATTTGATGAGGTATCTAGTGATAAGCTTGAGATGAAGAGACGTGGATTAGAGGATGAGATAATCACATGGGTTTGGAGCTGTGTGCCTGACTGCCCGAAGATGGTCAGTCATTAATGGGTCAATGTCGATTTAGCGTGGAAGAAAGAGACCTAAGGAACCACACTTGGCTTCAAAGTTTTTAAAAAATCAATGATTTGAATGAAGGTATGGACGTTACATTTGTCACATTTGGAGACAGTCAGTACAAAGCTAGGAAGGGCAGCTAATGCTGGATGATAGACAGGGTCAGGAGCCAGAAGTATCTGGGCCAGGACTAAGAAAATGAAATTTGACAGGGAGAGACACAAAATTCTATCTTTGCCTTGAATGAATGAACAGATGGATGGGAAAAGCACTTATTAAGGATTTAGTGCCAGCCAGGCCATTAGCAATGGCTATACAAAGGCAAAAAGCAAAGCAGTCCCTGCCTTTGAGGAACTTCGGGCATTCCCTCTGGCTCTCCTCCATGCCTGGAACGCCCTCCCTTTTCGGCTCCAACTACTGACCTTCCCAGCTTCCTTTAAGTCCCAACTAAAATCCCCCCTTCTGCAGGAAGCCTTCCCCACCCCTCTTCATTCCAGAGCTTTCTCTCTGTTAATTATGTCCTATTTATCCTGTATATAGCTTGCTTTGTATAGATTTGTTTGCATGTTTTCTCCTCCATTAGATTGCAAGCTCTTTGAGGGCAGGAACTGACTTTTGCCTCTTTTTGTATCCTCTATGCTTAGCATTGTGCCTGGCACAAAGGAGGCACCCAACACATGTTGATTGGTCGATGAATTGACTGATAGCAGAAATAAATGAGATAACAAGTAAATGAGAGTTGTTCTGGTCTGGAACATCATAGGGATGTTGAGGGCAGCTTTGAAGCAAAACTTGACATGTCCTTTCCAGGAATAGTAGTGTTCATTTGATTAATGTTGAGGGGAGAAGGGATTATAGATGGCTCAAGATCATCTAGGTGGGTCTAGATCTGCTAGATGGGGTATACTTTCACCAAACAGGAGCTTGGGCCCATGGCTGGGATCTGGAATGTTGGGCTGGAGGTAGAGACTGGATCCAGTGGGTCATTTTTTAAAAATTTTATTTTTTATTTTTAAAATTTAATTTATTGAAATTGAAATTTAAAAATTTCAACTTTCTCTCCTTTCTACCTTCCCCTACTACCACTCCAACTGAGAAAAAAAAATAAAAAAAACACAAAACATTTGTAACAAATATGCGTAGTCAAGCACAACAAATTCCCGCGTTGGTCATGTCCAAAAAATATGTCTCGTGATGTACCCCAAGTCCAGGTTTTTTTTTAGGACGTAAGGAGTGTGTTTTATCATCCACCATCTGCAGTTGTTCGGTTTGCATTGATCAAAGTCCTTAAAAGGCTTTCAAGATTTTTAAAGCCCTATTCTGACACCCTAGGGAAAATTGCTTAAAACTTAGATTTTAGCTCAGGTCTAGGGTCTTTCCAAAAAAGGAAAGGGCAGGGTGGTAATTTGAAAGGTACTCGGTGTATAATATGCATCAGGTGTGGGATAGGTATTTATTTGCTCCGCACAGAAGAAATGCTGAACATTAAACACTCAGGAGAACGCTGGCAGAAAGACTTAAAAACAGGATTCAGTAGCTTAAGTTATGTTAACTGTTAGGTTGAGTTTTCCAGGAGCCTGATAGTTAAACCTCCTCTTGAACATAATTTTTCTGGACTGTGGAGTAGGTATTTTATAATACATTTCACCTTGGTTCTGCACTGTCCACCTATCTTTT